GGCTGCGCGATAAAAGGGGCGGCCGCGCTTCCTGACGCGAGACCCGCGCTCGCCGCCGCCCGCCCGCCTGCTCAGGCCGCGATGACACGGCGCCCGCGGCGGCCCCGAGGCGCCGGGCGGGCCGTTTGCTGAGCGGATCGCGGCTGCCCGCCAGCGTGTCCGCGCCGCCGCCGCCGCCGCCGCCGCCAGGATGGGCTGCGCCCCGAGCATCCACACTTCCGACAACCGAGCGGCGAGCCACAGGGTCGACGAGGACGCGCCGGGCCCCGCGCCGACGTCTAGACAGCGGTGGTCGACCGCGCCCGGGCTCGCGGAGCGCCAGCCTCGCGACGGCGGCGCCGCGAAGGTGAGCAGCGCCCACAGGCCGGGGAGACGCGGGGCCGGCGGGGCCGGCGGGGGCCCTCCAGGCGGCCGCCGCGCCGTGGACCGACGCCAGCCGCCCCGCGCCGCGGGCTGAGGTGGACCGAGGCTCAGCGGGGCCATGACCGAGCCGCCGTGTCGTCCGTTCGTTCCCGGGCCAGATCGTTCGCTGCCAGTCAGTTTCCTCCCAGCGTTGTGTGTGTGTGTGTGTGGGGGGGGGACCCGGGTGGGGGACCTCGAGAATCTTCTGTCACGCCCCTGACACGGTAAACCGGGGTGCGCTCTGCTCTGTGGCTCCCAGGGTGGGAAGGGAAGGGCTGCCGGTCTCGGGACGGTCTTGGATCCGACCTGCACCCCCATCCTTCACCCCCTGCCTGGCTGATGCTAACGTCTGTCCCCCTCTTTGCGCGTGAAGTTTCACTTTTCCACTTCTTTGAGACTGTTGAAATGGAAGCTTGGAACATCGGTTTGGCTTCACTGCACATGCTATCTGAAGTTCGCCTTTATTAGCATACGTGTTGGTATTTAAAGCCTGTGTGATTAGAAACTGCTGCTGGAGACGCGATCTTTGAAGGATTCGGTAGGGCAAAGTTAATGTTTTATGGAGGCAATCTGACTGGGACATAGAGGGGTTTTGTTTTGTTTTGTTTTTCATTGCGTGTCTGCCTCGGCGCCTTTTGCCTCAGCTTTTATCAGAAGTTTCGAGGGCTGAGGTTTTCTAAAGGAAAGATGAAAGTTGACCGAGGCACAGCGCAGCAGCTTGCCACCTACATTTGGGATTTTGGAGTGGCATCTCAAGCGTCGGTAGTAAAACAGACTGTGGGGTGCTTGGCTGCCGTGTTGGAACATAAACTCCTCGTTAAGTCTTTTGTTGTTTTTTAAAATAATTCTTCTTGCTTACTGAGTCCTGCAGAACTTCTCAAATTTGAAGGACGTAGTTGATTTACGTAACTGTCTTAAATTTCCAGCAGTCATTGTGGTACTTTTTCTATAGGAAAGAGAAGATCTTGCTCAGCTTTCCAGCTGGAGCGCCTGCCCCGCCCTGCCCGTACTCTTAAGTGAAAATTCAATCATGTTCTGATTAGCAAAAGTTGAATTATCTCTCCTGTTGTTTCTTTAAAGAAACCTGTGAAGGCTAGAGTTTAGACTGTTAGGCCAAACTGCTTTTAATGACAATGAGTAGTTATATATTAAGCCTAACAGGCTTACAAGCAAACAAGACACTACAGATGAAGTTGATTGTGGGAACTTTAACAAGTGTCACGTTTTTGACAGTTTTTTGACCCAAATCAAATACGTATTTTTTTCATTAGCCAAATGTTAAATTCCAAAATCATCTTTTCAGTGAGACACCTTGCTTCTTACAGGCCTTTTTGTGTTGGCCTGGGAGTCTTAACATTTCTGTTAGGCGTCCTGTAAGCCTCTCCCGTGCAGCAATGTACTCTTCTGCCTCCCACAGTTCTCTGGGTTTCAGAGTTTTTATTCCAAGTGTTCTGCTGACAGACCTCTGCCTGTGTTAGGTCCGCCTGCCTTCATCCTTACAGCGGCTGGCCTCATGGCATGCATATAATAGGTGCTAAATAGCGGTTGAGTTTATTTTTTACTGTTTACTCATTGGTACTTCTATCACTGCAGTTTGTGTCTATAAAACACTGAAGATGTTTAAAAATAATATTAACACTTACAGAGGAGGAGGAGTCAAATTACAAGCTACAGTAGTGCCACCAATAGAGATGAAAGTCCCTCCCATATTTTGTGTGTGAGTCGCCCATACTGATACCCCATCTCCGTTACTGAATTCAGGCATATCGGGTAACTACAGATTTTCTTTAGTTCAGTATTTTTTTTTTTTAATTAAGTAAATGTACTTTTTAAAATTAATGTGCTCTGGAATCTGAAAAATACATATTACAGAAGAAAAGCTTTGGCAAGATCAAATTAAAAGTACTTTGCTTCCTTATTAACAAATATCTTGAGCCTATTCTAGTTCATCAAAAAGCTCTTGGAGCTGGGAGCTTGGGAGATAGCTTAGATGGTAGAGTGCCTGTCAGGCAAGAACGAGGAGCTGAGTTTGGACCCTCAATACCCACATAAAAGCTGGCATGTTTCTTGAGCCTCGTGTTGGAGCTAGGGTCGGGTGGAGACAGGCAGTTCCTCTGAGCTTGTTGTCCAGGTGGCCTACCCAGGCAGTGAGCTCTGGGTTTAGTGAGAGACCCTGTGCCCAAAAACAAAGTAGACAGCTACAGAGGCAGCCCTCCAGCTCCCACATGCAGGCTCGCAGGCACAGGGGCACGCACACACTCCACACGGGTATAGAGGTGGCCTTCCGGCCCCCATGTGCAGGCATGCAAGCACTGTGTGTGTGTGTGTTCATTGTTTAGAACGCAGCCATCCAATGTATCTTCCAGAGAATTTAAACAAGAAATTTCGTGGAGGAAGTAGTTCCTCACAGTTGCTGAAAGACTGATGGTTAAGTACACTTCAGCTTAAACAGAATGTGGTTTACACTGTACTATATTTTATGTGTATTCCATGCAGCAACCTATGAACTATTAATAAGTATTTCATGAATAAAGGAATGATCAAATCAGTTTGAGGAATACTGACAATAAATTCAGCAGAGTTCCTCCCTCCCTCCCTTCTTTCCTCCCTGCTTTGTCTTTTTTCTTTCTTTCTTAGAGTGTTTTGCTGTGTTACCCATGGCGGTCTGGAACTTGGGGTCCTGCTAGTATAGCTTCCTACCTTCCTCGTATAGATGCATGTCCCTAAACCTGGTTTCAGCAAAAAAAAAAAAAAAAAAAAAAAAAAAAAAAAAAAATTTCTTTTAAATGCAGGGCTTTGTCAGAGTACTCAGTTTCTTAAAATATCTTGTGATCACCGGGTAGTGAGTGGCACATGCCTTTAATCCCAGCATTTAAAAGGTAGAGGCAGGTGGGTCTCTGTGAGTTTGGGGCCAACCTAGCCTGCAGGGTAAGTTCCAGGACAGCCAGGGCTACAAAGAGAAACCCTGTATAAAAAAAAACAAAAACAAAACACAACACAATATAAATATATATCCCTGTGATCTTCCAAAGGGTGTTTAGGGTTGCATTTCCTAGCTAGACCTCTTTGATTATCCAGCCTCTTTCTTAGGGTTCTGTCATAGGCAAGCCAGAGTAGGCTCTGATTCCTTCCATGGGACTACAGTATTCAGAGTACAAGAAATATGCTTAACAGTAGACTTCAACAAATACGATTTAGTTCTTAGTGAGTCCAAAGGCACTTTAAGATCTGGTAATGTACTGGTGAGTGCATGAACCTATTTAAGTATTACTGAAAATACTGTGGCTGTTTGTTTATCCAGGAGTTATATAGCCTATGTGGTTACAGATAATGGCTGCTGTGTTCAGCTTGAACACTTACGCTTTTATTTTTAATCAGTGTGAGTTTTAACTAACATCTCAATATTGTCTTGTCAGTTTTTAGATCGACTCTCTTCATTTTCCTTAGCTGGGCCTTGAGACTTAAGGTACGCTTGAAACATTTGTGCATGAAGAGAGGAGCCATAGAGATCTGTTCACTGCCATCCAGCGGGCTGCTGCTGGTTGGTGCCTTCTGCTCAGCCTTTCTCATCAGCTGCGAGGTGGGCAGTCAGACCTCTGTTTGCTGTCTCCTGTAGGCCTTCCAGAAATAGTCGTTGAATTATAGGATCGTGTGAAACAGGCTGTAGAAGTGCAAAATCTCCCCTGTTCGTATAGAGGAGAAATAGAAACCAGTCTTAACTAGATCGGAGGCTGTGAAGTTCAGATTGCTTTTATGGGAGTCTCTGGTTATTGCTCTCCAGAGATATCCTCAGGGGATGAGGTATATTCATGCTAGTGAGCATTGTTTGTTTGTTTGTTTTGAGACAGGGTCTCACTATGTAGCCCTGGCTGTTCTGAACTCATTTTATAGACCAGGCTGGCCTTGAACTCTGAGAGATCCACATGGCTTTGCCTCCTGAGTGCTGGGATCAGAGGTGAGCAGGACGGTTCTCGGCTGGATAAAGTTGTGAGGATAGCGCAGCACGTTGGCAGTGCACAGCAGGACTGTGGGCTGCGCGCTCACTTGTGACCAAGTGTGTCACCAGCAGAACTGCAGGAGCTGCAGAAGCTCCAGTTTGTCTCACTCTTCCCACTTCTCCTCTAAATCTTCTTCTCTGACTTTCCGCTATCTTCTTCCCCCAATTCCCAGTCTTCCTCCTTTCCCTCCTTGACAGAACAGGCTAAAGAGCCACCTCCACTGGAAGGCGGATGCTGAGTTGCTCCCTGTTGTCTTCCATATAGAGAATCTTTTGCCAGGCTTAAGTATGAAGAACTAAAAAAAAATTTGAGCTCTTGTTAACATACATGAAGTACTTTGTATCTATATCACCTATATCGTAATATTTCAAAAACATCCCACTCTAGAGGGAAACACTCAGTGACGTGGCAGAGTAACAAAATAAAAAATCAGATAATACATGAGGTGGAAATTGCTTTAATTTAGGCAAACATAAACACATGTAAGATAAGATCAGGCAACAAGCTTTACTCCAAAATATGTATATACCAAGCAGCTGTGATGCTGTAATGCGTGTGCGCACGCACGTGTATAAACACAGTACTTACTGTCACTAGCACCATAAATTTAATTGTGATTCTTAAGAGATATGTCAGAGTTCTGTTACCTGCCCAGGGTCAGCCTTGATCTTTTCCATATAGAAGTAAAGGTTATGATGAGGCCTGTGGTCCCTTCCGGCTCTTACGTGCCTCTTGAAGTGGTCTGGGGACACTGGCTCTCCCTGACATGGCTTGCTCATTTGGATTGAGCACTGAAACAGGGAGGTTCATGATGTGAGGCTGACATCTCAGAATAACTTTTAAAGGGGAGAGAATTTCAGAAAGTGAAAACAACAAATAAAATTAAAGAGCAGAACGGAGGAGCTAGGGCAGGAGTAGGCCCTTAGTCTGGCCCAAGGTCAGTGTC